TTTTCAATATGGCGACGTATGTTTTCAATATGGCGTCGTTTTTTTTTTCTTCAGTATGGCAACGGTTTTTTTCCAAGATGGCGACTTTTCTTTTTAAATTAACGCGTAATGGCGTCGAGTAGAAGTTAAAATTAAAAAAAAAAAATTTTTTTAAATTTTAAATTTAATTAAAAGTGTTTAAATAATAATAATGAAGATAATAGAACGTGATAAGGTAAATTTAAATAAATTATTATATTTTTTTTTTTTTTTTTTTAAATGAAAGAAAAGAAAAGTAATCAACAGTAATGGCGGCGGTTATAAATCAAATTAACCTAAAACCAAAAAAGTTTTTTTTTATTTTTTTTATTTTATTTTCTTAACTGAAATTAGATATTTTTAAGAAAAAAATAAAATAAAATAAAATCTAAAACCAGACACTTGATTGTAAATAATAATAATAATAATAAAATGAGAGCACATAGTAAACTAAAAAAAAAAAAAAAAAAGTTAAAATGTTTTTAAAAAATTTTAATGTCCGACACATTTTTTGGCCGCAAACAATTGTAGTAGGCTGCGTCTTAAATAAATAAATGAAAATTCGAAAATAATAATAATAGTAATAATATTAATAATAATAATTATTACTATTCCCATAAAAAAAAAAGATTTTCTACTTAATTTTTATTTTGTTACGTCTATGGTGGTGGTGGTGGCATTAATAAATAATAACCTTCCGATGAGTGGTGTGGTACCAACTTTGAAAAAAAAAAAAAAAATTCCCCTCCCTCGACAACCTTTTTTTGTTTTTTTATCTATGAAATTTTTTTTATTGATTTAATAACGATTTCGTTATTATTATTATTATTATTTGGTTTTTGTCAAAAAGAAAAAATTTCTCATGTGTTAAATTTGATGACGTAAAACGTCACGGGAATGAAAGGGAGGAAGGAAGAGGGTGTGGAGGGGAGGGAGGGGAAGGGGAAAAGGAAAAAAGATTTTTGTTTTTTGTTTAAAGATGACCTAGAGTATTAATTTTTTTCCCTAAAACATTTGACATTGATTTATATCGATTAGTTTCCCCTCCCCCTTTCCCTCCCTGCATGAGCCGACATAAATTTTTATAAAAGTAAATAAATTAAATTTATCAAACAAAAAAAAA